TTTGTGGGGGTGGGACCAGCCGAGCCTGATCGCCTGGCTCCCTGCCTCAGAGCCTTTTTTAAGTTGGTGTTTCAGTCGCCTGTTGAAGAGGCGCCGGGGTCTGTTTGTTTTCCCCTGCGGCCACTCACTGAGCTGGCTTAAATAGCGGCACTGAGGTTCGTGGTGCTTTTTTTGCTTTTTTTTTTTGCCCTGGAATCTGCTGTCCTGGTTTCCTGCTCAGTCCCCTTTTTAAACAGACGAATGGGCAACTTCTCGTGGCTCCAATTGCCAGCCAAAAGGGCACCTGGACCGGTGTATTTTGCATGGAGAACTGCTGCTCTGGGGCGCCGACAAAGCAGCCACGTGGAGCAAAGCAGCGGCGCCAGCCGGCACAGCCGCGCTGGCCGAGAGCCCGCTGGTGACCCATGGAGCTCCTCCACCTGGGAATTTCCTAGTCTGTGGGCAATAAAAATGCAGCGTCCACTCACCCTCTGTGCTTTCACTGGGAATTGCAATCCTGAGCTGTTCCTAAACAGCCATCTTGGATCCTCCCCGCAGATTTTTTTCTATAGAGTTGTTTGAGCATTTTATATATTCTGGATATTAATCACTTATCAGATGGATATTTTGCAAATATTTTCTCCTATTCTGTGGGTTGTCTGTTGACTTTCCTTTTCTGTGCAAAAGCTTTTTAACTTTATGTAATCCCATTTTTCCTTTTTTGCTTTGGTTGTTTGTGTTCATGGGATATTACTTAAGAAATCTTTGTGCAGTTCAGTGTACTGGAAAGTTTCCCGAATATTTTCTTCTAATAGTTTCATATTTTGAAGTCTTAGATTTGTCTTTATTCATTTTGATTTGATTTTTTAATATATGTGAGAGATGGGGTCTAGTTTCATTCTTCTGCATATGGATATCCAGTTTTCTCAGCACCATTCATTGAAGAAACTGTCCTTTCCCCAATGTATGTTCTTGAAAGCTTTGTTGTAAATGAGTTCACTGTGGATGTATGAGTTTGGTTTTGGTTTTCTCTTCTGTTTTCTTGGCCGTGTCTGTTTTTATGCTAGTACCATGCTGTTTTGGGTATTGTAGCTCTGTAGTATAAGTTGAAGTCAGGTAATGTGATTCCTCTAGTTCTTTTTGCTCAGGATAGCTTTGGCTTATCTGAGTCTTTTGTGGTTCCATATCAATTTTAGGATTTTTTTTCTATTTCTGTGAAGAATGTCATTGGTGTTTTAATAGGGATTGTATTGAATTTGTAGATTGCTTTACATAGTAATGTAATTTGGATATTTGTCCCTGCTCAAATATCATGTTGAGATGTAATCCCTAATGTTGGAGGTGGGGCCTGATGGAAGGTGTTTGGATCATGGTGAGTGATCCCTCATAATTGTCTTGGGTCATCTCCTTGGTGATAAGTGAGCTCTTGCTCTACAATCATATGATATCTGGTCATTTAAAGGTGCTTCAGCACCTCTTCCCCTCCTGCCTCTCTTGCTCCTTCTTTACTATGTGATGTGCCTGCTCCCCTTTTACTTTTCACTGTGACTGTAAGCTTCCTGAGGCTTTCCTAGAAGCTGAGCAGATATTGTCACCATGCTTCTTGTAAAGCCTGCAGAACCATTAGTCAATTAAACCTCTTTTCTTTATAAATTATCCAGTCTCAGATATTTCTTTATAACAACACAAGAATGGCTTAATACAGAAAATTGGTACTAGAAGTTTGATATTGCTATAAAGATAGGTATGTTTGTGGAAGTGACTTTGGAACTGGGTAACAGTTGAAAGAGTTTGGAGAGCTCAGAAGAAGACAGGAAGATGAAGGAAAGTTTGGAACTTCTTAGAAATTGGTTAACTGATTGTGACCAAAATTCTGATAGTGATATGGACAGTAAAGGCAAGGTTGACGAGATCTCAGATGCAAATGTGGAGCTAATTGGGAACTGAAGCAAAGCTCACCCATGTTATGTGTTAGAAAAGAGCTTGGCTGCATTCTGTTCATACCCTAAGGATCTGCGGAAGTTGGAACTAGAGAGTGAAAATTTAGGGTATCTGATGAAAGAAATTTCTAAGCAACAAAGTATTCAAGAGGTAGCCTGGATGCTTCTAACAGCCTGTGCTAGGATACAGGAGCAAAGAAATGACTTAAAGTTGGAACTTTTCCTTAAAAGGGAAGCAGAGCATAAAAGTTTGGAAAATTTATAGCCTAGGTATGTGGTAAAGAAAGAAAAAGCTTTTTCAGTAGAGAAATTCAGGCAGGCTGAATTGCCAGAGAAATTTCTATAACTGAACAGGAGCAAACAGTTAATAACTAAGATGATGGGAAAATACCTTGAAGGCCTTTCAGAGATCTCTCAGGCAGTCTCTCCCTTCACAAGCCTAGGAGGACTAAATGGTTTCACAGGCCAGGCCCCGGTCCCCACTACCCTTTGCAGCCTCGGGACACTGCTTCCTGCATCCAGGCTGCTCTAGCTTTAGCCATGGCTCAAAGAGGCCCATGTATAGGTCAAGCTGCTACTTTGTAGAATGCAAACTCTAAGCCTGTACATTTCTATGTGGGATTAAGCCTGAAGGTGCACAGACAGCAAGAGTGCATGAGGCTTGGCAGCCTCTGCCTAGATTTCAGAGGATGTATGAGAAAGCCTGGGTGCCCAAGCAGAAGCATGCTGCAGGGGTGGAGTCCCCACAAAGAACTTCTGCCAGGGCAATGCAGAAGGGAAATGTGGGGCTGGAGCCCCCACACAGAGTCCCCAATGGGTCACTGCCTTGTGGAGCTGTGGGAAGTAGGCTGCTGCCCTCCAGACTCCAGAATCGTAGATCCACTGGCAGCTTGCATGCTGTGCATGGAAAAGCTTCTGGCATTTAACAACCTGTGAAAGTAACCATGGGGACTGAATTCTGCAAAGCCACAGGGGCAGAGCTGCCCAAGGCCTTGGGAGCCCACCTCTTGCACCAGTGTGTCCTGGATGCAGTATATGGAGTCAAAGGCAATTATTTTGGAGCTTTAAGATTTAATAAGCTTAAATCTCATTGACTGCTCTGCTGGGTTTTGGGCTTCCATGGGGCCTGTAGCCCCTTTCTTTTAGCCAATTTATCCCTTTTGAAATCGGAATGTTTACCCAGTGCCAATCAGCCATTGTATCTTGGAAGTAAATAACTTGTTTTGATATTACAGGCTTATAGGTAGAAGGAACTCATTTCGATTTGGGATAAGACTTTGGATTTGGTACTTGAAACATTTGAGTTAACGCTGGAATGAGTTAAGACTTTGGGGGAGCTATTGAGAAGGGATGATTGCATTTTGAAATATGAGAAAGACTTGAGATTTGGGATAAGACAGAGCAGAATGGTGTAGTTTGAATATTTTTCCCTACCCAAATGTCATGTTGAGATGTAATCCCTAGTATTGAAGTGGGGTCTGGTGGCGGGTGTTTGGATCATGGGGGGCAGATCCTTCATGAATGGTTTGAGCCATTCATTGCTTTGGTGGTAAGTGAACTTTCACTCTGAGTTCACAGGAGATCTGGTTATGGCATCCCCCTCCAACTCTCTGTCTCCCTCTTGTTCCTGCTTTTGCCATGTGACATGCCTGCTCCTTCTTTACCTGCTGCCATAATTGTAAGCTTCATGAGGCCTCCCTAGAAACCAAGCAGACTCTAGGCTTCCTGTAAAGCCTATAGAACCATGAACCAAATAAATCTCTTTATAAGTTATGCAGTATCAGGTATTTCTTTACAGCAGTGCAAGAATGGCCCAATACACATAGTATGCAAAGTTTAACAATATTGATTCTTCCAATCCATGAACATGGATTATCTTTCTGTGTTTTGTGTTCTGTTTAATTTGTTTCATCCGTTTCATGGTTTTTATCACAGAGACCTTTCACTTCTTTGGTTAAGTCAATTTCCAGGTATTTTACTTTATTTGTGGCTTTTGTAAATGAGATTACTTTCATGATTTCTCTTTTAAACTTTTTGTCATTTGCATGTAAAAATGCTATTAATTTCTGTATGTTGATTTTGTATCTTGCAACGTTACTGAATTTGTTTATCAGTTCTATGGTTTTTTGGTGGAGTCTTTAGGTTTTTCCAAAGATAAGATCATATCATTTGCAATCAAGAATAATTTGACTTGTTTCCAATTTGGATGCCCTTTATTTCTTTCTCTTATTTAACTGCATCAGCTAGGACTCCTATTACTATATGGAACAACAGTGGTGAGAATGGGTATTCTTGTCATGTTTCAGATCTTAGACATAAGGCTTTCAGTTTTTCTCCATTTGGTTTGATACTAGCTGTAGGTCTGTCATAAATGGCTTTTATTTTGCTGAGGTATGTTCCTTCTTACCTAGGTTTTGGAGAGGAATTTTTTTTTTCAGAAACGAATACTGAATTTTATCAGAAGCATCAACTGAAATGATCATATGGTTTTTGTCCTTCATTCTGTCAATATGATATATCACATTGATTGATTTGCATATGTTACATCATCTTTGCATCACTCCTATAAATCCTAAATGGTCATGATGAATGACCTCTTAATGTGTTGTTGAATTCAGTTTGCTGTTATTTTGTTGAGGACTTTTACATCAATGTTCATCAAGGAGATTGGCTTGTAGTTTTCTTTTTTTTATGTGTCTGTGTCTAGCTTTGGTATCAGGGTAATCCTGGCTTCATAGAATGAGTTTGAATGTATTCCCTCATCCTCTATTTTTTGGAGTAGGTTGAGCAGGATTGGTATTAATTCTTCTTTGCTTAAGCATTTGGCAAAATTTAGCAGTGAAGCCATTGGGTCCCAGGCTTTTTTTTTTTTTTTTTTTTTTTTTGCTGAAAAACTTTTATTTATTACTTAGATATAATTATTTATTTTTTTGTTCTTTTTTTTTTTTTTTTCATGTTTCT